CCCGCTTCCGGTTTGACCGACGCGGACTTCGCCACATCCGTCGAGCAAGGAAGACAATAAAGAGAACCCTTAACAAAATGATGTCAATCATTCTTCCTGCACTGACGGCTGAGCCGCCAGTGCGGAGACAATGTCACGGATGACCAGTCGTGCTCTGGGCAAACCAACACTCCTTGCCACGCGAGCACTTATCTGTTTCCTTGAAGGAGCGACAGATCATGTCTTTGCCTTTGCTTTTGCCTTTGCCTTTGTTCTTGTCTCCATCCTTTTTGCGCTTGTCAGAGTTATTACTGGAGGCTCTCGAGCCACCATCACCTCCAGACGATGAGACATTGGCAGCGGCGGCATTGGCTTGTTTAGCTGCGCGCTCATACCCCAAAGATTGTCCCGCGTCAAGCTCCGCTTGTTCCCATTTGTCGCGTTTAAGCTTCTCAGCGTCGGTCAACCCTCTGTGGATTTTATTGCAACCGTCTGCTGCTCCGCGACAATTCTTGGGGTCTCGCGACCACGCGTAGCATGGCATCGTGCTCTCTTTCCCACGCGATCGATTGGATTGACTCCTGTTTCTCTGATGCGCTCCCTTCCCACGTCCACACCATTGGGGTCTGCGATCGACTCTGCCCCCTTCGGCCTCGGTCCTTGGATCTCCCTCTGGGGTTCTTGTCCTGGGCAGGAGCGGCATTAGACTTATTTCCCGCAGCCGGCAAAGGACAACCTTGTCCGGCATACGGGCAGGTTTCGCCCTTGCGCACGTACTTGCACGTTGTCTCACCCTTAGTCAATCCACTCTTCATTACATCGGTGGGGTCCCCTAGTTTGGCCGCTACTTCTGCCGGGGCGGCTTTGCCGCCGGCATGGTTTCGATTGTCATTGCCCCCGCCTCCGCCCAACCTGGCCTGCCGAGCACGTTGTTTCAAAGTACTCCCATGCACACTGATGTTCCATTCTTCTTTATCACGCAACATCATCCCTTCGATCTGCTCCATCAGCCATTCGTAAGTCTTCGCGCCTTGTCCCATTTTATCCTTGGACAGATCACAGCGCTGACAAACGAAATTCACTTTGCTGGGCTTTCTGCATTGCTCGATAAAGCGCGCATGGATCGAAGCTCTCATTTCATCAGACGGAGGTCGGGCGCCATAGAGCTGCCGATATACGTCTGTCCGTTCATTATAGGAGTGATACAGGTCAGCGTCTGGCTTAATGGGGTCGATGACAACCTTGAAGATATCACGCGAAATGCGACGTTGGCCTAACTCCGACCTAACAGAACACCAATGACAAATGGCTCGCGCCATCTCACGTCCCGTCAAGAGTCTGCCCTCATTCTGGGCGCTGTACTCCATTCGAGTGATCTGCTGAAGGAAGTGTAAGTGATGACTTGGCAGGTTACGGTTTCTGCGCATTTTGCTGAATTTCTCAATCAGATTTGTAGCGGCCATGAGGTCAAGACGCTGGAAGCGACCTGCTTCTTTGAGTTGTTCATCATCCACAGCAGGGTTCATAACTTCCACAATCCAGCTCTGTGCTGCTTGGCCCTCAGGCGACGACCCAGCGATCGCGCGGATTGAATGCATTTGCCACTCCCGTATGTTTGTAACATCGGGGATGTCCAACAGGTCAACCTTCTGATTGTTTCCAACCTGTCTCCACTGGTCCAACGGTGTACTTTCATCAATACCTCCTGGATCATGTGGCCCGCCTGGGCCCTGAGGTCCACCACGGCCACCTCCCCCATCTGAGGGCCCCGACGCCCCCGGACTCCCTGGAGGCGGTTTATCTGGTCGTTTAGCGTTATCGTCGTCGCGCGTCGACATGATCTCAGTGCTCGGCGCGTCGCTCTTACCACCCCCTTCTTTGTCCTGCCCTGCCCCGCCAGATGGCTTAGCCGCTGGCGGCCTCGCAAGTCCATCCCCGGAGAATGAATAATAATTGACAAAACGGTCATCGTCGTTGGATCCTGTCAATTCATGTTGATTGGTAAACCATTCTCAGGGGTACTCGGCTTAGCCGGACCTTCGAGAGCAGGGCCAGGAACGGTATAGTTGGGTCGCAACATAGACCTCACAGGATTTTCTTGAAAGCAATGGCATATCGAACGAACTTAATGCGGGCACTTTATCTTGTCCTTTTCCACAGTGCGGAAATGGATGTGTGATGATATTTTTACACTGCATCATTCCTTTTTCTGACTCGGTTGCATATGTCATGGCCTCACCTTCTCGGATATTGGCAGCTGACCTTTCACTCTTCTTCTGAGTACACGTAGAACATCTCTTGGTGTTCGTAGCAAAATGATCTTCCCAGGCCGGCAATCCACAACTAGCGCGCTCGCCAGTCTTTGGGTTGAAGCAAACTGAGCAAAACTGGGAAACTGAGAAACTCGATGTGCCAGTCTCGTCCCGTTTCGCAGGCGGCGGCTGCGGCGCAGCCCTCACCTGCAACGTCGACGATCCCGCATTCGTTGCTGTCATCAAGTCAGGCCGAGGCGGAACGGACGCTGTGCCAGACGGCTGAGCCGTCGGCGATGGTCGTCTGTCCGTCCCAGCCGGCTTTGCCGGCGGGCATTTGTCTTTGCCCAACTGCATGCGCCGGGGGGATGCTCTAGCATTTTCATGCGATTTGAATACTTCTCGATATTGATTGTTTTGGCCAGCTATCTTCGCAGCTACAGCTTGCGTGTTAACCGCTTCCAGCCTGGCGTTTTGAAGCTTTTCTTGAAGCTCCTGTTTTTCTCGTTCTGCCCTGGCTGTAGCGATTTTCTCTCCTTCTACTCTGGCCGCCGCAACAGCGGCGGAGACGGTTTTGGCATCAACAGACGGATTAGTCGCCGCCAGAACGGCCTGTCGTTCGGAAGCCAGCATCTCGACATATCGGTTCTCGGCTTCTCTCTCTCTCCGCCTGCCGCCTACGGCCGCGGTCTGATGGCGCACCTGTTCCGCCAATTTCTTGTTCCCGCTCTCTGGCAGCCTTGGCTAGAGCGAGCCTTTCAGCCTCGAACGTCTTCCGAACATCTTCAATGGTTGCAGTCATCTCCTCTCGTTCCAGTCGGGCCCTTTCGGCCAGCTGCGCTTCGCTTGCCTGGAACTCCTGCTGGGTATGAGCTTCAAGCAGTCTAGCCTGGTCCTGAATAGCTTGCACGAGGAGGCATGTGCAGTTATGCTCGTTCATAGGATAGCAATCTACACACAACCATTGGTTGCTGCATTTAGGGCATACAGCATAGCAACTCTTACATACTGGACGCCTACATGCACCATCTGGCTCGCGGGCTTTCCCCGGGCATCTGCTCTCCGCCTGAGGCGCGCAGTCCGATTTCCAGTTCCCGCATGTATCAAGCATGGAGATATTGCTGTTGCTCCTTGAAGTAGATCGCGCTCCTGATCTCGGCATTTTGGGCCTTCCCCTGCTCGAAGCGTTCGATCGAGGACGCGCAAACGCACATTCTGGGGGGTCCGGCGCCTCTCGAAGCTCCTCATCCCTTTCATCCTGTCTTATAAGCTCAGCGCACGAAGCTGGTTGTTCAACCATTTCTTCATCCTCAACAACAGCCAGCGTCGAGGGTTGCCAATCGCCTGAGGCGACGGCGGGACGATAGAAACCTTCTTCAAGAGGTGTGTCGTTTAAATCGTAATCCTCGTTCCTCTGCTTCCTCAATTGAGGTGCAGGAGTCCGTCCTGTAGACTCCCTATCGTGCTTCGCCTGAGATTGTTGGTCGATCTCAACCTTGCCCGCCTGAGGCGTCAGGTCGCTTGCATCTTCGTCTGAGCCGTCTGGGGACCACCTCTCGTCTTGGGCGGGGTGGTCTGCATCCATTAGCGAGGACAATTCTCGGCTCAAGGAAACTCCTTTGTTGGCATGCTAGAAATCTTCCTCTATGGAGTTTATTTCGTGCTCTCTATCGATTGGCTCATCACTATCCTGGCCAAATTGTCCGCTCAATGCTATTGGGATGGGAACGTTTCCACTAGTGCCTCCCCATCCGCCTGGGGCGTTGGGGCACACGCCTGTGGAATTGTGAGCTTCCCCCGACCCACTGGCTTCACCAGCGGCCGGCACAAATTTATGCGCAGCAATCGGAATAGGGCTGACTGACTCCGACGATTCGGCGATCAGGGACGAGAATGTTCCTCGTCTTGTTTTCGCTGTTGTGCTATTCCGTCCACGCGGGCCCGGGGTTTGCTCGCGACTACCAATCGGAACTCCAGAGGGAGAGCCATCTTCCGACATCTCAACAACCTCTTCACTACTTCCACCCCGAGAGACCCGAGTGGCGGTACTAGAAGTGGGAAGGCGGCCCTGCCCCGGGCCGCTCTCCTGTAGATCATGTCAGTATTGTTGTACAACTTGTTGTTCAGCGTCCCGCGAAGTGACGGACATGTCATATGTCTTATCATAGCTCATACCCGCAGCGACTAAGTCGCAGGGTTCATCAGAAGACCAAGCTTCTGGCTGATATAAACCCGCATCGACTATGTCGCGGTTTTCTGCTGATGACCCGTCTTTCCTCTGAGAATCGGGGTAAGATGACAAAGGAATTAAGGTCTCATGTTCACTCTGCTCAATGGAAGAGGGTACGGGATGAGACATCGATAAGACAAGTAACCGGTAAGCAAATTTACTCGATCAGGAATGGTAAGTGAGGAGGCCGGCCGGCCGACGACACGACTACGACGAGGGGACGACCCCTCGGCGCGCGCGTGCGAGCCAGCACGCTCCTTTTGATCTCCTGTGAGCAAACACACAGTTGCGGAAGATTACCGCAATCATAGTCAGACATTGCGCAGCAAGGCAAGCGATGTGAAAAGCAACATGAATATGAGGCGGAGAGGAGCTTATTTACTAAAGAAGGATACCAATAGCGCAACTCCGTGGACCTCTGCAGGGGTGCGCTCTGACGAAGGATTGCGAGACGAATCCAGCTGTGGTGACGAGGACTCTCCAAGACGAGCAGCGGTATCGGTACCCTTTCCTCTCCTGACTTTGTTCGTGGAAGGCTCCTTCTCGAAAGGGCGCTTCGGCTTACGGAACGTCTTGCCATAGTTCTGGTAGCTCTTCTTTCCGCCCATGACCGGCGCAGCGAGCGGGCCGGCGCGTGGATCGAGCTGGGGGCCTTTTCTGTGCTTCCGGCAGCCAAAACAGGCTGCAGATGCTGCACCCTGCAAGAGCTCGAGGGATGGTCTCTCGAGGTTGTAGGGCTCCTCTACCCTTCCCCCTCCTCTTCAACCTCCTCCTCCTCCTCCTCCTCACCACCAACACCAGCACAAGCACAAGCACCAACACCAACACCATTATCACCATCATCACCATCATCACCATCATCATCATCATCATCATCATCATCATCATCATCATCATCATCATCATCATCACCATCACCATCACCATCACCATCACCATCACCATCACCATCACCATCACCATCATCATCATCATCATCATCATCATCATCATCATCAACATCAACATCAACATCAACATCAACATCAACATCAACATCAACATCAACAACATCATCATCATAATCATCATAATCATCATCGTCATCATCATCATCATCGTCGTCGTCATTATCATCATGATCAACATCATCTTCATCTTCATCATCATCTTCATCATCATCCTCATCCTCATCCTCATCCTCAACATCATCGTCATCGTCATCGTCGTCATCAGCATCAGCATCAGCATCAGCATCAGCATCAGCATCAGCATCATAATCAGCAGCAGCAGCCGCAGCAGCAGCCGCAGCAGCAGCAGCACAGGCAGCAGCAGCAGCGTCATCATCGCCGCCACCATCATGACCATCACCACCACCACCACATCATCATCATCATCATCATCATCATCATCATCATCATCATCATCATCATCGTCATCATCGTCATCATCATCATCATCATCATCATCACCATCACCATCACCATCACCATCATCATCATCATCATCTTCATCATCATCATCATCATCATCATCATCAACATCCTTCTTCTCCCGTGGCGTTGCTCAGCCTTGCGTGCGTCCTCCTGGTCAACCGCTCTGTCGCCACGAGGCAAGAGCATAGGCCTCAGCCGCGAGGCCGCAGCAAACATCAGCACACGCCACGCCTCAGGACAGACTGGCTGCGGTCAGAGCTCGCATTGCCCAGAACAAGAGGCGCGACAAGCCGAATGGTGCGGCGAAGCATTGGTTCGGCCAATTCTGACCAAACATATATTCTGATCCTTTTCCGTTTCCCCCTCTTCCTCCTCCTCCTCCTCCTCCTCCTCCTCCTCCTCCTCCTCCTCCTCCTCCTCCTCCTCCTCATCATCATCATCATCATCATCATCATCATCATCGCCTGGGCCAGAGTCTGGGCTCGCGGGGCAGGACGGACATTGCGCTCCAAAGGTGCGCAAGGGAACGCCGAGTTGCAGAACGGCTCTGGTGCAGATCCCGGCCCCAGGGCCAACTTCTTGCCTCCGACGGCTGTCAGCGCTGCACCGCTGGGCCCCCGACGACCGCCTCGGTTTCGTGTCCACGCGCGGGAGGCAGAGGGGACTCTGTGGCTCGAGGTCGCCCAGAAGAACGCACAGTCGCCAACTGCCCTGTCCAGCTCCGAGCCTGCGAATCCAGGTCGTGGGCGCCGAACGAGCGCTGCGACCCAGCCCCAGACCTTCCCCCCAACCTCCTGGAAGCTCTTCGGCCCGGGGGGTAGGCAGGACGGCCTCTACATTTCGCTCGGCCCGGGGGGTAGGACGGCCTCTACGTCTCGCAATAGCACCGCAGCAATCATCCACCCGCGTGTTCCCGCGGCACGTCGAGGCGTGGTGGAATGCCAAGCGTTGCCTGGCAGGGGTGCCGGAAGGTTGCTAGAGGCCCCTTCCCTCTCGTCGCGCCTCCCGGCACACTCCGCCCCTCCCCCTTCGGAGGCTCCCTGGGCGGCCCGACGGGTCCCGAGGGGTTTCCTGGGCTCCCCGCGACTTCCCAGCCGGCCTGGGAAAGCCAGCGCCGGCCGCCAACTCAGCCCAACTTGCCAGAAAAGGACTCAAGATCCGACTCGAGTGTCTCGGAAGCATCTGGGGCCAAGAGGCTTGCGAGACACTATAGGGAAAAGGCCAAGAGGCCCCCCTGAAGGCTTCCCCGAAGGCCAAGAGGTTCGCGAGACACGAGGTAGAAGGCCAAAGGCCCCTGAAGGCCAAGAGGCCCCCCTGAAGAGTCCCAATCGGTCTTTCACAGCTTGAGCTTGAAGGGCCTCAGTTCAAAAGGATCCCAAGAGGGCCCAGGACGAGCAAGAGAAAGCCAGGAGAGCCCAATGAGGGCCCCAGGAAGCCCACTCGGTCAATTCGGTGGCAGGCTCTGCGACCTCGGGCCAGAAAGCTCTCGAAAACGGCTCAAAGTGGCCTCGAGACGGCCCGAAGTGACCGCTGCCGGCCGTAGAGACGCCCAAGACGCCAAAGAGGGCCCAAAAAGGACTTCCAAGTGGTTTCGGGAGGATTCAACGTGTTCGTCTTTTCGTCCCCAGGAGGCCCAGGGCCCAAGAGGCCTCAAGGATCATCCAAGAAAAGGGCCCCGAGACGGCCCAGGATGACAGACACACAGACAAGCCATGCGCCGGAGCGCGCGGGCAGAGGAAGACAGCAAGCCTCTTCTCACCGCTTCGCGGGAAAGGCGACACGCGCGCCCTCCAATTCACATCATGCGCGGAAGGGGGAGGAGGAGGAGGAGGAGGAGGAGGAGGAGGAGGAGGAGGAGGAGGAGGAGGAGGGGGAGGAGGGGGAGGAACACACAAAATCAATCACACATTTGCGCCACGCTGCTGGCTCGCGGACATATTGCATCATGGCTGGCTCAGTCGAAAACTGCGGGGCGACGGCTTTACACAAACACTTCGCCCATTCATTTCTGGGCCGGCCCCTTGCACGAGTGCGCGCGTCTGCGGCTGGTCTCGCGCTTCCAGGTTGGAAGGTGAGGCGCCGCTGAAAGTCCGAATCCGTCGCCCTGCATATTTTTCCAAACCGCAGTAGTTGAAACCTTAACAATGGCACGACGTAGGGCTGTTGGCCTGACTGCAACAGCACATGCTCGTTGGAAACTCTTGAAACGCACGCGTGGGGAATATGCAAGATGCGACGTAGGCACCTCGCTTGGTTGCCATTTAACCTTTTTTGCGTTCGGCTTTGTTGAGCCAACCCGAATTCAGCGAGTACATAACTTTACTTGTCACCTGTGCTTGAAACAACTTGATGCTTTCTGACGGCACTAATTGAAGTGTGCTTCCAGGCGCGGCTGCGTCTACATAATTCACCCCGAGCAGCTTCCAACCTTCTGCCCAATTATCCGCATAACCGCCCAGAGCTTGACAGTGTGGCTCCAAGATATACCATCGAATCTTTCGGTTGGATTGGATCACCACTGGGCGTGCTGAGGTTGATGTCGCAGCGAACCGGCACGAATTGAAATTTATTCCAATGTAGCCCCATACCAGCCCGTGCTCCTGCGCGAGCGATTTCTGCTGGCATAGTTTGTAGTTGATTTTGGCTGCGGCGCACAAGCCGCGCGCCATCAGCATACAAAAATATAACCAAGGACTCTTCCGCCAAAGCTTATCGCACTCCAGCCTCTGTATGGCGCGCGGCGTCCCGGATAACCATCGTCATCACCATCACGTTCAAGAACGGGGACAAAGGGCATCCCGGGGATATTCCGGAATATTGATGTTTTTCTGTAGATCGTTGCCGTCCGTCTGCAACGCGGAATGTCCTGCCACCGTAGATGTTGCCAATGATGGTCAGGATGCGGCAGGGGACCCCGAAGTTCCGCCATGCATCCAACAGCGCGCCCACGTTGATCGAGTCGAAAGCCTTTGTCCAATCCAGCGCGACGAAGGCTACGCCCCCATGCTTGTCTGCATACGCCAATTCGACGTAACGACGTACAGCATGTAGTGCGTCCGATGTCCCGCGCCCCCGACGGAAGCCGAACTGCGTCGCCGTCAATCTATCCTCGGCCCCGGCGTCCTGTAGCCGTTTCAAGATGAGTGCTGCCATGAGCTTGTAAGCCACGCGCAGCAAACTGATGGGACGATAATTGTCGCAAGTGTCGAGGGCGACTTTGTTCTTATATATTGTCGATATAACTGATTGCTTCCAATCCTCTGGCACGGCCTCTTCGTTCCAACATTTATTACACAAATCAGTCATCCATTCGAGCACACCCGGGTCACTAGCAATAGCTTTCCAATATTCCGCTGGTATGTCGTCCATTCCGCAAACTTTGCCACGCTTAAGATTCCGGATAGTTTGTCTTACCTCTTCTGCTGTGAAATTTCCTTCCAGGGCTGGTAGCGGGTCTCCAATACGGTCGTCGTCGACTAATTGTGCCACTCGTACTTTCCATTGCATTTTCTCCAAATACTGTGCCATTGTGTCCGCTCTTTGAGTGCTGTCGACCAACTCGCCGTTCATGTCTTTAAGCCAAAAAGGCTCAAGAAGCCCACCAAAAAAACTCAAGAGGCCCCCAAGAGGCCCCCAAGAGAGCTCAAGAGGCCCACAAGATCCCGCCTGCCCGAAAAAAATGCCCCAGGAGGCCCCAATGCGGCCCCGAAGACCCTCTAAAGAGGCCTCAAGAGGCCCCAAGAACCTCCGCGTGCCGTGCCCGCGCGCGCTGCCGTGCTGTGCTCGTTTTTTGTTGTTGGTTCGGCACGAGTACCCACACCCAGCAATCCCCTGTGCTGTTGATTCGCCACGGTGTGGTTTATGCTCATGTCGCTCTAGTCGCCTCTATGTTTTGCTCGTTTTCGCCTTTCATGGGCCTCCTGTGTGCCGAAACGCCTACCCATACCTGTGGCCTCGCGGGTCGGGACCTGGGCCTCGACCCCGCGAACACGGGGCGTTTTTTTTTCCGCGGAGGCCCCGCGCGGAACGGATCCGTGCGACAGCGCACCCGCGCCCCAGCATCCAGACCGCGAGGGACGCGGATTCGGATGTGTTCGCCGCTCTTGATCCTGGGTGGGCCCCTCTTCGACAAAAACAGTCGACGGTCGCTGTCGGTCACCGCTCTCGCTGCCCCCCAAACGCCCCGCTCCGCT